ACCCTCTTGCTTTTGCATCTGATCTGTGGTTTCGGTGTGTTCCCTGGGTTTGGGGTCTCTCCCGGAGAAAGATCTCAGCCGGGGGTCTTTCAGCAGGAAGCTCTGAAAACTGACCATTTGGAGGGAGACCAGCTTGCCACTGTCTATTCATCTGGTGTGAATACCCACACCTCTTGCTGTAGGAGCATCTGGCCACAAGGGGCTGCCCAGCCCCTGGGGGTGCAGATAACTCATGATTCTGAACTCTGGAGGACATCAGACCCCAAGAACTCCAGAAGAGATCAGAACCTATGTCTTGATCGATTAAAAACCACTCATGGGAAGACTTCATAAGCTAAGACACATTAACCTCCCATAAGATGATCTGAAGTGGCGTGGTCAGCTCTGCTGTGGAACAGAGAGCTGAGAAAGTGACCACTGCCAGTTCCAGGAAGAGGGTCAGCAGACATTTTAGGGGAGGTAAAATTTGAGCTGGGTCTTGAAGGCTGAGTTGAATTTTTATTTCACAGAGAAGCTGTGGAAATGGAATTCTTGGCTGAAGGAGGAGTGTGCAGAAAAAGAGAAAAGCTGTGGCTGGGCAGCCCGAGCTCCTGAGCTTTGTCTTCTTACAGGAAAGGTCTGATTGTCTGTCAGAAAGCAGGAGAAGCAGAGGATAACACAAATCGGCAGCTAGTCCAAAAACCGACTTGCTCAGGGCTGGCATTTTCTTTGGGATGCAGACCTAGTACACAGTCCCAGAGAAACACCACAGATGGCCTCCCTGAGAGGTCTAGGGGAGGCTGTGGCACTGCCTCCTTTCCTTCCCCTCAGACTGGAGCAGCAGAGTCAGCCTCTCAAGGGCCAGGTCAGGCCAGGGCTCATTTCACTCCCTGCTGCTTGGCTTGCAGTCCAGCGCTTACCAGGTGGCTTCTGTTAACATCTGCCTGCCAGGTTCAGATCAGATCAACCATCGACCACTGTCAGCAGCCCTGAGCAAGTTATTTACCTCTCCTGTGCCTTTGTTCCTGGCCATAAAGGCAGAACAATAGTCTGCAGGCTATTGACTAGGGTGGAAGCCGCACTTGGCAGGGAGCCTGCTGCTGGTGAGCACTCTGTAAGTAGCAGTTGTTATTGTAGGGAGGACCCCTCCCTCCTCCAGCTACACACACACACACACACACACACACACACACACACACACACACACACACTCCTTGGTCCTACCTTCCTTTTTCAAAGCCTTTTCTTCTGTCCCTATCCCTGGTCTCCCATTCTTCCTAGTAAACCATTTTCTGTGGAAAGTTTATTAGTTTAGTTTCTTAGCTGATTCTTTTTGTTGTGGTTTTCAAGACAGGGTTTCTCTGTGTAACAGTCCTGGCTGTCGTGGAACTCACTCTGTATACCAGGCTGGCCTTGAACTCAGAGATCCTCCTGGCTATGTCTCCCAAATGCTAGGATTAAAGGTATGTGCCACCATCCCCAGATGGTTCTTAAACATGGTGAGACCTGGTTTTCCTTTATGGGATCATAACAATCCAGGGGTTTGTAGCTTGCTTGTGTTCCCCAGATTCTCAGAGGTTCTTGTAGGCTGTCAGGATCACCAAACTCAGTTTTGGGTGTTGGTGTACAGCCGTGTACATCAGTGTCAGCTTAAACTAGTCACTTTACACTTCATAATCTCAAGAAGCTGTGCTCCTACTGGACATGGACTGTTTATCCATCCCTCACAGAAGCGTTACATCTTAAACCTGTCAGCACAGAGCCTGGTAGAGAGAAGAAAGAGCTCAGGAAAACCTGCCTCTGTTGTTACTATTAGTATAAAACTTTACTTGAAAAATCATACTTTTAGCCCAAGATCATGCCGGATCTAATTAAGAAAGTAAGATTTCTGTAGGAAGTGTGTGTGTGTGTGTGTGTGTGTGTGTGTGTGTGTGTGTGTGTGTGTAGAGGTAACTGGTGCACCATGCTGGGAGCCTCTGACTGGCAGTTATATACGATTCTACTAAGTAAAACTGAGGAAAATTAGCCTTTGTCTGCCTGTTTGGGCCGAGAAGTATTGCAGGCCTGAAGCATTAAGTTTCGGGAAAGCAAAGGTGTTTGCAGCCATTGGAAAGTCACGGGGATTCACTGGTATAATGCAGTGATCAGTGCTGTCTAGTCAGCAAGTGTACTGGCTAGTTATGGGTCAAGTTGACACAAATTATAGTCGTCTGAGAGGCCATAACCTCAGTTGAGAAATTGCTTCCAGAAGCTCAAGCTATAGACAGGCAGGCCTGTAGGACATTTTCTTAATTAGTGATCGATGTGGGAGGGCCCAGCACATTATGGTTGGTGCCACCCGTGGGCAGGTGGTTCTGGGTGCTATAAGAAAGCAAGCTGATGGGCTGGAGAGATGGCTCAGTGGTTAAGAGCACTGGCTGCTCTTCCAAAGGACCTGGGTTCTGTTCCCAGCACCCACATGGCACTCACAGCTGTCTGTAACTCCAGTTCCAGAGGATCTGATGCCCTCTCACAGACACACAGGCAGGAGAGATGCCAATGCACATTAAAAAATAATAATAAATCTTAAATAGGATTTAAAAAAGAAAGCTGAGCGAGCCAGGGAGCACTCCTCGTTGGCCTCTGCACCTCGGTGATGGCTCTGCAGCTGAGAGTACAGACTGCGCTCTCACAGGACCCGGGTTTGCGTCCAGCAGCGTACACCTGTCTGTAACTCGAGCTCCAGGGGGTCTAAGACCTGGGCTTCTGTAGTCACCTGTGCGGAGGTGCGCAGACAAACATACACACAGTTTTAAGAAGAAAACAATAAGGAACATTCAGCTTGGGGCCGGGAATCTGACTCAGCAGGCGGAGCGCTGCTTGCTCTTGCCGAAGACCAATGTGGTGACTTGCAAGTCTGTAACTAGTTTGAGGGGAACCAGCGCCCTCTTCTGGCTCCATGGGCAGGCACACATGTGCTGCACATACATACACATTAAAAATTTTAGAATAAGGCCAGGTGGTAGTGGTGCATGCCTTTAACCCCAGCACTTGGGAGGCAGAGGTGGGCAGATATACAGAGTGAGTTCCAGGACAGCCAGGGCTACATAGAGAAACAGAACAAAATTTTAGAATAAAAACCACTTTAATTTTTTTTGAGACAAGGTCTCACTATGTAGTCCATGCTGGCCTTGAATTCACCTTCTCTTGCCTCAGCCTCCCAAGTGCTGGAATACCCATCCAGAAAACTTTATAACAAAAGCTCCCTCCAAGCCCTCTGGTGTGAATGGGGTCTCCATGTGTGTGTGTGTGAGCTAACCCAGGCAGGCATGTGTAGAAGCCAGTGGTTGACATTGGGGCATCTTCCTCGGTTGTTTCTTCATCTTTGAGACGAGGCCCCTCACTGAACTTGGCGCTCACATTTTCACTAGACTAACAACTGATGGCGAGCAGCCCCAGGGTCTGCCTTTCTCTGCTTTGCCTCCAGGGCTACCGTGCCTGCCTCTTCTGTGAGAGCTGAAATCAGGTCCTCATGCTTGAGCAGAAAACCTTGAAAGCTGTGAGAGGGGAGATATATATATATATGGTTCAAACCTTCATCACAAAGCCTAGCACAGATAAGAATTTTGCTTGTGGCAGAGCTTGACACCATGGTCTCCACCCCAGCATCCTTTCTAGGATCCCAGCCCAGAAGGGCCATCTCCCTGGGGTGTGAGTCACGGCAGCAGAGACTTCACAGATACAGGGATGCTCTCTCCATCGCCTCACTTTCTGCACTAAAGGAAATGTCACCTCTGCCTATGTGTGTTGGAGCCAACAAAACAACACATGGGTAGAGGACAGGTCTGACCCAGAGTTTCCCAGATGTGCCTGTTTGGAAGAACAACTTGGGGTACCTCACCAGGTGATGCTGGTTCACGCCTCAGCAGTGGCTGTATTAACAGCGAGTGCGCTGCATGATTCTTGGAACCAAGCAGGCTCAGGGGAACCTAAGACCAGGCCAGCAGAGGCTCACTAATGTTTCTGTCCCCAGCTGAGCAGTGGCGCTAAGAGGCCACCAAGAATGATCCACTGCAGGTAATGTGGGCCCACACTCTGTGCTGATCCTCGAAGCACCTCTTTTCCATCAGAACCAGATTCCTGGGAACACATGGCAATTGCGATGTGTTGCCGACCTACTTTGGGGAGGCAGTTTGAACAGCAGACACTTAGTCTTGGCTGGTGACAATGTTTTTCTGTGGCTTTGTGCTTAGACTGAAGAACCTGGAGCTCACTGCCGTGGAAGGATCTGACGTCCACGTGAGGATGCTGGCAGCCCCTATCAATCCAGCTGACATAAATATGATCCAAGGTAACCTTGGTCTCTGGAGCTTATGTTAATTGACTCAGCAGCTGCCTCCTTTCCACTGCTCCTCAGGTAGGGTATGAAAGTCTCAGGATTAGCAATGGCTGTCCTTTAGAGGAGCTGTCTGCACACAGTATCGGCTCTCTCTGGCTAACCTCTGAGCGTGAGGCTCTGTGAGTTGGGAGGCTTGCTGTTGTGGTAGACCCACCCCTCTGAAGAGCCTGTGACATTCTGGATTCCTTTCTTACTTGAGCTTACCCTTGTGATAACTGTACCTAGAGAGTATTAGCTCCCTGCAAAGACAAGGAAGCAGAAGGCCAGAGCGTGGCTAGGTGCACAGCTGGCGAGTGCAGGGCCCTGGTGGGCTCGGATGTGACTGACCCCAGAGTCTCGGCCCCCCAGAGTCTCAGCCTAACCTGGCAGTGTGACTGTATTACCATGATAAAACACCATAACCGAGGCAGGCACCTTACAGAAGCAAGTTTGTTTGGGCATACGGTTCTGGAGGGTTAGAGTCTGTAACAGCAGGGCACAGGCAGCAGGCACAGTGGCGTGAACAGGCAGCTGAGGACTCACATCTTGAACCCAAAACATAAAGCAAGCACTAGGTTTGGCACATGGCTTTGAAGATTGACCCCACCCTCGGTGACGTACTTCCTCGGCAAAACCAGACCTCCCCACAGTGGTGCCACCAGCCCAGGACCAAGTGTCCAAATATATGAGTCTGTGGGTGACGCTTTTGTTCAAACCACATTTACCCTCTGGATTCTTCTCTCCCAGGGAACTATGGCCTCCTTCCCAAGCTGCCTGCTGTTGGAGGGAACGAAGGCGTTGGACAGGTGGTGGCGGTGGGCAGCAGTGTATCTGGACTGAAGCCGGGAGACTGGGTGATCCCAGCCAATCCTGGCTTAGGTGAGTGTCCCCGGTTGTCAGATCATCCGGATTCCTCTCCTCTGGAGACGCACACCCACTGGCTCGGTGTAACTAGGCAGTACAGGATCCATCGTTAAGTTCATAGGCCTGCCTCCAGGAGCATGGAGTTGAGCCAAGGGAGCAGACTCCTGTCTGCCGTGCTCTGGAGAGACATACCTGTGTGCACGTCTCCTTGGCTCCATGTTGGTTGGAGCTGTGAGTATCTGACTCCCTACATCCTTGAGTCTGGGCTGTAAGGTGTGATGTAGATTACAGATATGGCTGGCCCTGCCTTCCAGAAGGCTCAGATCTGACTAAAGTGACCGGAAGGCAGTACCTCAATAAAGGGAGTACCCCAGGGCAACGGGAAGCAGAAGGCTGCTCTGCGTGCATGTGTGTGAGGAAAATTCAAGCAAGACTGTGGAAGAAAGGCTGTTAGAACAGGTTAGGGGTGGAAGAAGTTGTTGAGCAGAGATGAGCCGAAAGGCATTTCCTGTGGAAGAAGTAAACTCAGCAGACATCAGAGTGAGTTTGGGAAATGGAAAAGCCAGTGTAGCCCCAGCCAAGGACTTGCCTGTGGGAGAGGTTACATAATGAGAAGGCGGATCCAGAGTGGAGTGGGGCCACAGGGGGGAAGGCCCTGAAGAGCCAAGCGGAGGATGGCATTTCATTTATGTACGGGAAAGTGCCATTAGAGTGTTCTGCTTTTCAGTCCTTACGTTTTCAAGGTGCGGCCATTATCCTAATGGATCTTCAGGGGAGCCACAAGAGGGTCGTGTTCCCCGAGTTGGGTGAGGTGGCCTAAGGTTAGGGACACCTCCCCCAGAGAATGAAATAGAGACCGGAGGAAAGGACAAGCGAGCTTCAATAAAGTGGAGGTAGAGGAGAGTGGGCACAGCACACCGGAGAAAACAGAATCGGCACCAATCGGCTTTGGGTGCCAAGCCCTTTAGTAAGGTTCATGGGAGAAGTGCGTTCTGCCCAGGATGACATGAGCTTGGGGCGTGAAAACAGCTCTGTTTTCTCGGGCAAGCTGAAGAAATAATTAACCCACATTTTGTTTCTGTTGGCTTTTTTTTTTTTTTCTGAGACAGAGTAGACCAAGCTAGCTTCAGATTGAATCCACCTGCCTCTAGCTCCCAAGTGCTGAGATTAAAGGTGTGTGCCACCACACCATGCCTTTTAAAATATTTTTTTAAAGTTTTATTTAATATGTGTGGGTATTTTATGTGTGCCAAAAGCATGCAATGCCCTTGGAGGCCAGAAGAGGGCATCTGATTCCTGGAACTGGAGTTGTGAGCCATCCGGTGTGTGCTGGGAATTGAACCCAGGTCATCTTGAAGAACAGCCAGTGCTTTCAGCCAAGGAGCCATCTCTCTAGCCCTTGTCTCTGTTGGCGGTGAAAGGCTGGTCTGTGAGGTGTTGGAGAGAGCAGATAGCTAACCGAATTGACTACCTCAGGTTTCCCATTGAGCTTCCCCCTCCTCTAACTTTGGCCAGGAAGGGACACCTAACTACACTCACTGTCATTATTTACCCTTCAGTTTTGGAACCAGTTGGAGGCCCCAATCTGCTTTGTTTGTTCATTTTTCAAAGTAATGACAAGCATTTGAGGATTACATATGGAAATTTAGTGTTTGAATCTTAGGTTGACCTTTTTTTTTTTTTTTTTTTTTTCAGTTTACTTCCCCCAATCCCTAAGGCCTTACCCAGTAGGATGGCAGACAATATCTACCCAGACCAGCGTATGAGGAGCTGTGTAGCTAGAGTTTTCCTGCCTGGCCCACAGTCAGGACAAATCTTTGTCACCCACCAGTCCCACAGCCGCTCAGACCCAACCAAGTAAACACAGAGACTTATATTGTTTACAAACTGTATGGCCGTGGCAGGCTTCTTGCTAACTGTTCTTATAGCTTAAATTAATCCATTTCCATAAATCTATACCTTGCCTCATGGCTTACCAGCATCTTCACATGATGCTTGTCATGGCGGTGGCTGGCAGTGACTCCTTCCGCCATCCTGTTCTTTCTTTTCTCCTCTCTGTTAGTCCCGCCTATACTTCCTGCCTAGCCACTGGCCAATCAGTGTTTTATTTATTGACCGATCAGAGCAATTTGACATACAGACCATCCCCCAGCAGAGCTGAAGCTTGGGAAGCGAGATTTGCTCAGACCTGAACACAAAGGGAGGGAGGAGAGCCCAGTGGAGTCTGGTCTCCCGTGTCTCCCACACCCTCTATCAGGTCTCTTTGGGCTGTGACTTACGAAGCCTAACTTCAACTTGCTTTATTATTTTACATCGCTGTGCAGGTAACTTCTACTCGAACACCAGCAGCTTTTCATGTTACTCAGAATATTCTACCCTCAATGCCCTTGTACCCCGGAGGGTGGCCTGGGTGGTGTGTGCAAGGGCTCCTCCCTCAGAGTCCTGCCTCATCCTGCCACAGGAACCTGGCGGACTGAGGCCGTGTTCAGTGAGGAAGAGCTGATCGGCATCCCTAAGGACATCCCACTCCAGAGTGCTGCCACCCTCAGTGTCAACCCCTGCACAGCCTACAGGATGCTGCTGGACTTCGAACAGCTGCAGCCAGGTATGACCTACAAGTTGAAGCAAGCCCGGGTCTCCCCACTGGGATGCAACCTAAATCCTGGCCCATGTGGTGGAGGGAGAGACCCTAGGGGCAGTGACAAGCTCTAACCTGACCAAGTCTTACTGCTTTAAGTAAAAAGACGTTCGATGGGTTCCTAGAAAACACTCAGAGGACAACACTCAAAGGACACACTGTGAGAAGTGCTGGTCACAGAGCTGGGGCTGGAATGCTGTCACCCAGCAAAAATGTGTTGAGCTGTGGTAGGCTTTGGGGACACAAAGCCAAGGGAGGCAGACAGTGTGACTGTTTTCAATAAAGTGCTGAACTTGGTGTTCCTCGTTCTGCTCAGCACTTCCTAGCACTTCCACGCGCATGAGCGCCTCTGCAGGCACCACCCTGTGGGGTGCATCTCAGCTGCAGAGCAGAGCTAAGGCTTCCTGTGAAGGGACTAGGAACTCGAGCCCCAGGCAGACAACCAGGGTCTGAACCCAGGCGTCCCCTCCACCCCAGGCAGACAACCAGCGTCCGAACCCAGGCATCCCCTCCACCAGCTGTATGAGCTCACCACTCACATCACTGCTCACCCATAAGACATAGAGTAAAGGGTGCCAGAGACGCATGGGTCACTATAGTGTGATGTTTAGTCTTCCTTTATCACTGAGGGAATGATGATCGGAGAGGTGAGCTGTTATCTGAAGTCCCTCAGCCAGTAGACAGCCAGAATTGTCACTGAGTTCCTCTGAAAGCAGAAACCAGGCAGGGGCTGGGGCAGACAGCTGATCTGGGAAGTCGTCCCGAGAAGCAGGATTACGGGAAATGGGACAGTTGGACAGGACAGAGGCAGGCCCGTCACGGCCGGTTACTGCCGTGATCCCGTAGTCCCCTATGGATCCCTCATAAGACACACCGCAGGATTAACCCCCAGAAGACAGAAGACGGGCCAGTTTGGTTTTGTTGCTCTGGGGGGGTTGTTTCCAGTCCTAGACTAGAATCTGGGGCCTGGAACATGCCATGCAACCACTCTGCCACTCAACTGTGTCCTTCTCCACTGGGTAAAGGATCTCTCTGTCTCTGCGTACTGCATAGCTGTGAGCCCAGCAGGGCTGCGGAAATCACCTACCCTTCGTCTCTCATACCAGGAAGGAAACTGAGGCCAAGAGCTGTTGGGCTATTAGATAGGATCGGGGTGGGGGTGGGGTCTTTAGTGGAGAAAGCCAGGTGTGATGAGAGCCTTTAGAGTCCTAGTAAAGCCGACACTGGGTGCCTCGGCTCCTGCCGTGGCCGAGGTCACCCCTGATTAGGGCAGCCCTGTGCTGGACAGAGCCAGGCATTCTGATGCCACCCACTGTAAGTGCCTGCAGCCCACATCTCCATTTTGCTGCCTCAGGGCTGATGAGGCCAAACAAATTCATGACCTGACCCACAGTAAGACTAAATGCCACACTGGTGACTAGAACATGGGCATAAATGACCGCAGATGACGGAGAGCAGAGCTTGGCCGCCCAGCACTCGCCTTCGCTGTCTTTGTTCTGTGCTCCCGTGTGCTCCTCAGCTCCGACTGAAACAAATCAGTGCCGCCGGCAGCCTGCACAGCTGCTTGAGGATGCACCCCTCGACCCAGGCGGCTGCCACTAGCTGTAGCCATTCTACACTGACTCTTGCTGACTCTCAAAGCCAGATAGCGTCTCCCAGTCGGCAGAGCATCTTCCTGCTCATTTGGCTTCAATCACAGATGCTCTGATAGGCGCTCTCAGGCCTCCTGTTTTCTAGGGAAGACAAACTGAAGTTTGAAGAGGACACGATATGGCCTGTCTCGTTTAGTTACAGTCATTAAAGTTACATTCATTCCTTGAAGCAGGATGCACACCCAACTCCATTGTGTTACAGAGCCCATACTTACTTCCCTAGTGCACCACACTGCCTCTCCCACTGGTGAACTGCAAAACTAAGCCTGGGCTTTGACCACAGCCATTCTGTACAGTGAGGGTACAGCTCAGTGGTAGAGTACTTGCCCAGCATGCTCAAGGCCATAGATTCCATCCCTAGCAACACAAAGCAAAAGCAAAAAAAAAAAAAAAAAAAAAAAAAAAAAATGTAGGGCCCTGGAGCTTCCCATTTCTCTAAGATGGCTTTCATCCATTTCAAGTGCACCTTTACTAAATAATACAGAGGGGAATAAGGTATAGGCCTCCCCCAGGACTGCAGGTGATTGATAGAAATGGACCTAGGTACAGCTGTATATAGAACACAGTTACAGCCCCAGCATTGACGAGATACCAAAAAATCCTTTAGGAGCATACTGGAAGGAAGCCGGGAGGGCTTCATGAAGGAAGCCACAGTCGAGCTGAACTTAAAAGGAACCAGAAAACCATTGCGAACCAGAGACATAACCTCAGCATGGTCCCGTGAGGTGATGCAGCAAAGATGCTTGCCACTGAGACTGACAACTTGAGTTTGCCCCTGAACCAACATGTAGAAAACCACCTGTGCACCTGCAAGCTGTCCTCCGACCTACACATGCGCATGTGCATGCACATGCAAAGAAATGCAACTTAAAAATAAATGGCCCAAGCAGAGAACAGGACAAAAATTAGGAAGAGGCCAGGCGGTGGTGGCATAGGCCTTTAATCCCAGCACTTGGGAGGCAGAGGCAGGTAGGCCTCTGAGTTCAAGGCCAGCCTGGTCTACAGAGCGAGCTCCAGCACAGCCAGGGCTACACAGAGAAACAAAACAACAACAACAACAAAAAAAAAAAAAAAAAAAACAAAATCCCTGGGAAAATGATCAAAGTCAGTCACGCAGCAGGGTCTGAAACATGGACAGAGTGGCCAAGTCTTGAGAAGCATTGTGGGTGTGGTGGGATGTGGGAAGTGTGGAGATTCAGGGAGTGATAGTTCAAGGTCTGAGGAGGCTCCACTGCCCAGTCCTAGACCTGCCCTAGGGTCCCAGGCTGAGAGCCCTCAACACTGCCTAGTCCTAGATCTGCCCTAGGGTCCCAGGCTGAGAGCCCTCCACCTGTTCCAGTTGGCAGGGCTTGACCTGGATCTCTTCCACAGGGGATTCTGTCATCCAGAATGCGTCCAACAGTGGAGTAGGACAAGCCGTCATCCAGATCGCCTCAGCCCTCGGCCTAAAGACCATCAATGTGGTCCGAGACAGGTATGTGGGCAAGTGGGCCTTTCCACCTCACGGCCCCGTGAGTCCCCACATTTCCACCAGATGGCGCGCTTGCGTAAGCGGAGTGTCTGCTGCAGGGAAGCACGTGTGTTCACCGGGGCAGAGAAGCCCTTGAGAAAGTCTGAGGCAGACGTCAGGAGGAGGTAGAGCTGGTCCCTACCCAACAGTCAAGAGTGGTGAAGAGTTGGCTTAGGACAGCCCTGACTTTCAAAACCACAGTTCCCGTTTGGGAAGGTCTTGAGGTGTACTGTTCTGTGAACGCTCTGGCCCATGGTCCCCATCCACTTGGATCTGTGCACTAAACAGAGCCGTGAAGGAGGTGGGGCAGGCTTGTGATCTCTTTCACAGATGAGGGAGCTGAAGCTTCCGAGAAAGCCACTTGCTCAGGAAGACACAGCAAGTCCGTAACAGACCTCCCTACTCTCCATTGTCCCCTCGGGTCCCTTTACGCTCCCCTGTGCTCCAGTGTGGCCGAGTCACTTGTGGAGTCCATTCTGACTACTGGTACTTACTTCAGCCCCTGGCTCTGCGGCGCTAATGCTAAAGAGATTCTGTGTGCCTGGGCCAGAGTCCCGGGCCACTCTGCACTAGAGTGTGCGTTTGCACGATGCCCTGAAGTGCCTTGGAGAACAGGAGGGGAGACAGTGGTGTCGGGCTAGCACTAGGAAGTAGAGCGGCTCCGGCCTGGGCACAGGCCGTTCTAGCATGTGAGCACCGACAGGGTTTTCAGATTTCCTCCCAGCCTGGCTCTGTGCGAGGTGGAGGGCCAGTGGGGAAACGAGGCAAGAGCTGGGGGAGCCTGAGTCAATTATGTGGCTGGCCCTGCTTGAGGTCTGGCTTAACCTCAATGCCAGGTCTCAAAACAAAAACACGTGTTCTCGTGTTCTCGAGGCTGTGGCAGAAGGGCCCCGGAGCTTGAGGGAGGGAAGTAATCCAGTGTGACCAAGGCCCCCGACTGTGTTTGGTTTCCAGACCGGATATCCAGAAGCTAACTGACAGACTGAAGAATCTGGGAGCTGACTATGTCCTCACAGAGGAGGAGCTAAGGTTGCCCGAGACAAAAACCATCTTCAAGGTACCCAGCCAAGGGCTGGGGAGGTGCTTGAGCAGTTAAGAGCACTGTTCGAATCCGGGTTCGAGTCCCAGCACCCACATGCTAGCTCACAACCATCTATAACTCTAGTTCCAAGGGATCAGATGTCCCTTGTCTTCTTCTGATCTCCACGGGCACCAGGCACACACATGGCACACAGACAAGCATGCAGGTAAAACATTCACATCTACACACACAAAAGAAAATGTCTTTAAAAATTTAAAGATAAAAACAAGGTCCCCAGCTAAAGAACACTGCCCCTGTGCCCCATGCCATCCCCTGTAATTGGGGAGTCTGGGGCGGGCTCCTTGCTCTGCTCTGAAAACCACCTTCTCTTCTGGAAAGGACAAAACTGCCCTGCTCTCAGCTGTAGGTGCCCAGACACTGGGAAGGAACAGACAGACTTTAGGAAAGCTGGGGTTGTAAACATGTGTGGGGTGCTCCATCAGCCCCATGGCAGCCGTGAGCCAGAGCTGGGTGAAGGCATGGAGAGGAAAGTTCCTGAGCCTCCGCCTCACATTTACTTGGCCATCTCCAGAAAAGGTAGATTCTGCATAAATGAGGAGAACCACATCATCACCAAGTGGTGAGGCTGGTCCCCTTTGCTTTGAACTCAAAGTCCATACCTTTCCGGGGTATCCACCCCAGCAGACCCAGTAAGCGAGCGGGCCCGGCTTGAGTCCTTTTGCACTAAGCCACGTGGACGGACCAAGTAGCTGCTGTTGAGAACGTTTGCCCTGGAAAACACACTGCTGAAGTGGAGGTCGTACATCACGGGTAGACTTCTCTGTTCCTTGACACTGAATAGAGATGCTCCTTGTCAGTACCTCCCAGAGTCCTTGGGATGGGCAACAGGATGAAGCTTCTAAAACCCTTCCCAACAGATAACATGTCCAAAAGTCATCCACACCCCATTTCCTTCCCTCTCTCCCCGGCACAGCATTTGCTGCTTGGAACAGCTTCAGACCCCACGTGCAGCAGGTTGCGTCCTCACTGAAGGCTCCTTACTTTCTAGGACCTGCCCCTGCCCCGCCTGGCTCTCAACTGTGTTGGTGGGAAGAGTTCCACAGAGCTGCTGCGGCACCTAGCGTAAGTCCCTCAGCCACAGGTCTCTGTCAGGAGGGCTGTCTGGTGGGAGTGTGACCCAAGGCCAGAGCAGCAGGACGCTGAGGAACAGCACAGCAGGACATTTTGCTCTCTCTGGCCTGCACTCCCGAGCCTCCTCGTCCTCTGTGGATGAGAAGCCTGGCCAGCTTCCCCCACCACAGGACGCAGGAGTCATCACCCCTTAAAAAGTGACTCAGTCTTGCCGGGCGGTGGTGCACACCTTTAGTCCCAGCACTCGGGAGGCAGCACAATACAGGAGGCAGAGGCAGGTGGATGTCTGTGTTTGAGGCCAGCCTGGTCTACAGAGCCAGTTCCAGGATAGCCGGGGCTACACAGAGAAATCATGTCTCAAAAACAGTCACTCGTTGAAATGGCCTTATTGTCTTTAAAACTAGAATGAATGTGAAGGAAGCATTACACCCATTACAAAACACTTTGAAAGCCTATAAAGTAGTGAGGGGAAAGGAGAGGTGGGCACTCCGTCAGCTCCACCCACTGGGAGAGCTCCATTCACTGTGGTCTAGTCTCCATCTGGAGGATGCCTGGGGAACACTTCCCAGCTGGAGCTGGGCCCTCCACTGTGACCTACCAGCTGTGGAGGTGACAGGGCATAGCCTGGGAAGGGGAGCCACACGGCTGGGCAGAGTCAGCCTCTGCAGTGACTTGTGCTGTCCTGCAGCCCTAGGCAGGCGCTGCTATTCCAAATTCCTGTTTGGCTTTTCCTTTTGGTGCTGGGGGTTGAACCAAGGCCTCAGGCATGCTAAGCATGTGTTCCATCACTGGGCTGTGTCCCTGGCCACCATCTCCATTCTGTACTTTAAGAAAGGAAGCCCAGAGAAGGTGATCATCTCATTCAAGGTGTAGTTGGCAAGAGAGCAAGGCTTGAGCCCATTTTCATAACTACAGGACACCACTGTTCAGCCCGTGAGCAGTCTTGTGAGGCTGACTGCATCCTCCATGTGATTGCCAAAGGAAGCAGTAGTCACAAGGATGGACACTGACATTAGAAGGACCGCATTCAAACTCCAGTTCTGCTACTTACTAGTTGTGAACCTGTGAAAAGTTAGGCAAACCATGAAAGAGACCAAGCCTCAGTCTCCTCATCTCTAACAGGAGCAAGAGATAGGGCCTGCCTCTGCAGCTAGTGTGAGACATTGAGGTGATGTAGAAAGATGGGCTTCGGCTCTCTCCTACAGAACAGACACCAGTGTCCCCTGATGTTACTCTGATAATTCGTGGAAACGGTGCAGATAACATGCTTAGAGCTGTGCTTGGTACAGGGGGGAGCTTGCTTCCCCTAGACCAGGGCTTCTCAACCTTCCTAATGCCGGGACCCTTTAATATAGTTCCTCATGTTGTGGTGACCCCAACCATAAAGTTATCTCATTGCTACTTCATAACTGTCATTTTGCTAATTATGAATCATAATGCAACTATCTGTTTTCTGATGGTCTTAGGTGACCGCTGTGAAAGACCCAAATGGGTCATGACTATCCTAGAAGTTGAGAACCACTATCCTAGAAGCTTCTTTCTTGAATGAGAACCATTTGAGGAGAACTTTAAGGCCAAGTTAAGCCAGGCTTGTGGGGTACCCCTGTAATCTTAGCACTTGGGAGACTAAAGAAAAGAACTGCCATGAGTTCAAAGCCAGACTGAGCTATGTGCCAAGTTTGAGGCAACGTACCATAGGCTACGCAGACATAGTCAAACACACTTACACATACACAGAGGGAGACAGCAGCACAGAGAGAACAAGTTAGGAGCCTGAGGATGGCTTAGAGCATGTGCTTAACCTGTGAAGACTGAGGCACCACCCCAGCACTGTGACTGACAGGTGGGTAGGTGGATACAGCACTTATTTCCATTATGTCCTTGCCAGTTTTCCTCAGATGCTCCAAAATGTGCCTCGGGTCATCTGGTCAACCAGCTCGTAAAAGATTCAAGGAGCAGGGAAGGCAGCAGAGGTTCAGTCTAGCGTATGATCCCTCACCTACTCATTGTAAGAAATTCCATTAGAGCTGGGCGTACTGGCACCTGCCTGGAATCTCAGCTGAGGCAGGAGGATTACAAGTTAGATAGCAGCTTGGGCTGCCTGACCCTGCCTCAAAAACAAAAGACTGCATTTGTGTCACGCCTGTTTAACTGTTGAGATGGCGGTCAGACTGCAGGTTCCAACAAAGCCTCTTCCAGAGGGGCCACTCATCATTGTCCCTTCACTGTCCACGTCACTCCTCCGCTGGAGAGCCACATGGCACAGATCTCTAGGGTGAGCATTTACAGATGAAGAGACAAGGCCTGAACCCTCTTCGTTATAACACTCAAGATCACACTTCTGTAGCAAGTGGAGCCCAGACTGAACCTGGCCTTGACCTCTTCTGTCTAGATGATTCAGCGGCAGCACAGAACCACAGCCTCCCTGGGTGGGGTGAAGAAGTGTTTCCCAGCCCTGGATCTTCATCTTGATTGTCGGGAGCATGAGAATGTGTGTCCCTGTATTTGGTTTTGAGACAGGGTGTGTCTTTGTAGCTAAAGCTGGCCTTGAAGTTAATTTAATCCTCCTGCCTCTGCCTCCCAACTGCTGAGACTTTTGGCTTGTACCTCTGTACCTAGTTATGTTTGCTTGCTTGCTTTGTTTAAGACAGTCTCACTGGAACCCTGGAAGGCCTGGAACTTGGTGTGTGGACCAGGCTTGTCTTAAATTCACAGATTAGTCTGCTTCTGCCTCTTGGGATTAAAGGCCTGTGTCACCATGCCCAACATGTGTGTTATTTTTAATATAAGTCCCTGCCTCCTAATTCTTTAAGTCAGAAATTTAAACTGGGAAGCCGTATTTTTTTTTTTTAACCTCCCCAGGTATTCTGAGACCAGAGTTGTTTCCTATAAATGCCTTGCAGGTTCCTTTATGGTAGGTTCTGTCTCTGCCTACACCCACTCTTCTCTCTGGACTCCGCAGGCCTGGAGGAACCATGGTGACCTATGGGGGAATGGCCAAGCAGCCTGTAACAGCCTCTGTGGTAAGCTGGGGACACCTGCAGACCAGGGCTGGGATGCCTCTTTCCTTGCGCTGCAGCTGTCGAAACTCACGGGATCTACACCTGAAGCGATGCTTTAAGTTCTAGCTCTTGGTGCCCCAGCAAACTCCCCTGTGTCCACAGAGCCTGCTCATTTTTAAGGACCTCAAACTTCGGGGCTTCTGGTTGTCCCAGTGGAAGAAGAACCACAGTCCAGGTGAGTAGCTGATGGCCTGATACCAAGGGTCACAGGACAGTAGAGCCTAGTATGGCTACAAAGTGACCAGCTCCTCTAAACCCTGCAGAGTGACTGAGTCTCCAGCCTCACTCCAGGATAAAGAACAGTGTTTACCTCAGTCACAGTCAGCAAATCACTTCTAGACTGGCCAGAGTCCAGTAAGATGGACAGCCCTTGTTCTGAGGAGCTGGTTGGGGTGCTGGGGAAGACTGCCAAGTAAAGAGAGGTGGCCGGGTGCAATGGAATACTCATGTAATCCCAGTTCTCGGGGCTTAGGTGGGAGGGATGTGAGGTCAGGGCCATCCTTGGCTACACAGATAGATGCGATTTCAAAAAAGGAAGGAAAAACAAAATCAATCAATCAAACAAACAAACCATTCACGTGGTACTTCCAGCATCACCAGATCTAGGTCATCCTGGCCTAACTGGGTAAGTCAATGAATCTCTGCCTTTGTTTAAGCATTGTGGGTATAAACTCTTTTGAGCCATTTGACAGAGGAGAAAACTGAGGTTCATAGCCACGAAGTCAATTACCCTAAGCTATCCCATCCCAGGAATGGGGCTGCCAGGGTGAGCAGATGGGCCCTCTGACTGCTAGGCCTAGCTCCCCAGATTCTCAGCCAAGGCTGAGAATGAAGAGGGACATGGAGTTGACCCAAGCGGGGGCATGCATAGGTGTTTTGAGTAGAAAAATGGTGTGCGCAAAAGCTCATCCAGAGTGAGTGGAAGGGCTGGGAGCTAACTGAGTTGGCAAAGTGCTTGCCAAGCAAGTTTAGAACCTGAGTTCAGATTCCCAGCATCCATGTCAAAAGCCTGTACCCCAGGATTACAGGGAGGGGTAAAAGAGGTGGAGACAGGTGGATCCCTGGAGCTCATTGGCCAGGCAGTCTAGCTAAAAGAGCTTGAGGTTCAGTCAGAGACTGTCTCCAAAAATAAAAGTGTCCTGGGAATGATAGTGCACAACTTTAATCCCAGCACTTGACAGGCCGATGTGGGCAGATCTCCATGGTCTACATAGAGAGTTCCAGACCAGTCAGGACTACACAGTGAGACCTTGTCTGTTAATAAGGAACGTTATTGGGGAAGACACCTCAATGTCTGGTATGTCTTACCGACACACACACACACTCAGAAGTATGTAACACTACACCCAATGTCAACCTTTTTGTTTGTTTGTTTTTTGTTTTTGGATACAGGGCTTCTCTGTGTAGCCTTGGCTGTCCTGGAACTCACTCTGTAGACCTCAAACTCACAGAGATCCTCCTGCCTCTGTCTCCCGAGCACTGGGATTAAAGGTGTGCGTCACCACCACCACCACCACCACCACCACCACCACCCAGCTCCCAATGTAAAATTTAAGAAGAGCGAGAACACACCAAACAGGGCAGGTTCTGACACCTGGAGCATTATTAGGTCTTGTTTTGGACTGAGAAGTTGGAAGGCAGGTTTTGACCAGATAAGGAAAGGCTTAAGCTTTTTTTTTTTTTAATATGTAGCCCAGACTGGCCTTGAACTCGTGATCCTCCTGCCTCTGCCTCCTTCAGCAAATCCTACCAGCGTGCGCCACCACAAGGCTTAAGCTTTTTTTAAAGTTCATTCTCCTGCCTTGATAATTGGGAAGCCAACATAGTGGTTTTTGTTTTGTTCTGTTTTGTTTTTTCAAGACGAGGTCTATGTAGCTCTAGCTATCCTGGAACTCACTATGTAGACCAGGCTAGCCTGGAACTCAGAGCTCCACCTGCCTCTGCCTCCCAAGAGCTGGGATTAAAAGCGTGAGACACGACGATGACCCCCAGAGTAGTGTTTTAATCAGAAGTAGGATTAGATTTGAAGACTGAGTTCATTTCTGTCTATGAAAAGCACTTCTCAGCCAAAGCTTTCACTTTGCTTCCCGCACTGTGTCTGGCCCTCAGTAGGAGGCAGGCGCAGGAAGGGATAGCGGTTGCCTCAGCTGAGGAGTCCAGTGGAGGCCCAGGGCTGTCAGGGGAGCTGCTCCTCATCTGGCCCGTTGCCATCAAGCAGTGCCTGGTACACTGCCGTTCTGGCCTCTCTGGCTTCCCCAGTTCAGTCCTGCTGCCCCGCCCACCATTCAGGGACAGCTTCACCTGTCCTGTCCTGTGGACCTGAGCCACCTCAGCCGTCTCTGAAGGGCAGTCAAGCCCACCCTACAGTTCCTAGGCCCTCTCTTCCTGTTTCCCTGTCTCGTGTTGGCCCTCACAACGGCAGACGGTGGTGGGACAAGCCAGGGCTCTGAGGCTTCATTGGCTCAGGGCCATCTCACTGAAACCCACCTGTTGTGTCTTGTCTGACTTTTCTCCACCTCCGGCAGATGAGTTCAAGGAGCTGATTCTCACTCTCTGTAACCTCATCCACCAAGGCCAGCTCACGGCCCCGACCTGTTCTGAGGTTCCACTGCAAGACTACCAGAAGGCCTTGGAAGCCTCCATGAAGCCCTTTGTGTCTTCCAAGCAGATTCTCACCATGTGATTATCCCCGAGGACCAGGGGGAAAGCAGGAGAGCAGACCAGTAAGACTGGCTGGCTGCCGGCCGTCCATGAGGACCCCAGTCTTCCCCAGACTGCCTTCTGCTCACCGCCTCTTCCCATGAGGAGGGTGCGGAGCCAGCCCTGGAGCCCTAATAAAGCCCGAACTTTCTGAAGAAAGGATGATGAGTAGAGGTTATCCCTGTGGAGGAATGCTGTGCACCTGCTGCCCCGCCTCACCACCTGCTGTCATAGTCATTGCCTGCCCGAGCACCCTGAAAGCAGAAGCTGACTGGGCAGCAGTCACTATCTGCCCTCAGCAGTGTGAGCCCTGGAGTCTGGCGGAAGGGGAAAGGTGGTTAACTTCTCCCGGTGTGTGTGGCTCTGTCCAGGGCAAGGGGATCTGCTGCCAAGGTGAGTGCCAGGCTGAGATGATTAAGGCTTAAGAGACTGAGGACACAGGATCTCAGGTGTCCGGGCCACCTTCAGGGAACCTCCCTTGTAACGGAGGGAATAAACATTACACCTGTGGTTCTCAGCCAGGGGCATTTTTAACCCCAGAGGGACACTTGGCTACCACAGCTTGCGGAGGGAGTTGTTATTTGCCTCAACTGTGCAGAGATCAGTACTGTTAAATATTTTACAGCCAGGTAAGGTAATACACACCTGTAATCCCAGCAACCAGCAGGCTTTGAGTCAGGTGGATTGCCACAAGCTGGAAGCTAGCTTGGGCTTATATAACAAGACTGTGTCTCAAATTTTTTTTCTTACAAAGGGGGCTGAGAGTATAACTTAGTGATAGAGTGCTTACCTAGCATGCATCAGGCCTTGGTTCCATCCCATAACTGTCAAAAGAACAGACAGATCACACAGGACCACCACCCCCAAAGAATCCTCCTGCCCAAAAGGTTCCTAGTGCTGCTATTGAGAATGCCTGCATTAAGCCCCCAAGCAGACCTGGTGCTCTGAAGAAGGCACACAGGGCTGTAGACTCCTGGGGTCTGGGCAAGGCTTGCTCGAGGTGCATGGTGACAGACCGGCTGAAAATTAAGTTGGTTTCATCCAAGAGTCTGACTTTCTGGTGTTTGCTTCACCATCATTTTGCCCAGAGCAAAGCACAACTTGGGGTTGTCTCCTTTGTCAGCTGACCCCCGTACCTTCACCTCAGAGCCTCACTCAGGGAGCATTTATTCAGTGTCCAGAGCTAGCAATGAAGATGGTTTAGTATGGCCTAGTGTGAGGCCGTTGCAATATAAAGGGCAAAGCTGGGAGAGGACAGAGGTCCAGCTCAGTCAAGGGAGGCTTCCTGGAGGCAGTGTTGTCTGCACAGTTCTGAAGTCCAAGTAGGAAATCATGAACCAAGCAAAGCCAGCAGCTAGTTAGAGCTTGAATGTGAGGTCTTGGGCCTTGGGAAACTGCAACCAGAAGCGTGAAGCTACTGCCTGAGGGGCTGCAACTTGAGCAGAGGTGAGTGTGTAAGTGTGGTGTGTGTGTGTGTGTGTGTGTGTGTGTGTGTGTGTGTGAGAGAGAGAGAGAGAGAGAGAGAGAGAGAGAGAGAGAGAGAGAGAGAGAGAG